TATCAAGTAATATATCTCTTCATTCTAGTTACTATACTGAATTAAGTACATACGGAGTCCTCATGTATTATTTTACTTATTTTTCCGACTTAGAACAAGAAAAAATGGATTATTTATACTTAGAACTTGATAATAGAGATTTGTGTATCTGTTGAAAGAGGCAACGAACTATTCGCTCAAAATATTTCGGGATATAAACAAAGTGTGATCCGAGTTCAGCTCGGAGGCCGTACCCTAACCGAAAATGTTTAAAATAAAAAGTAATTTATTTGAAATTTAATGGAAATCATTACATGATTTTTCCCTGCTGTTTTGTAGCTCGTGTTTCAAAAAATGAAACTACCGATATTATACAAACTCTAACGGCAGAACGAAGTTCAAAAATAAAAATATAAACACCGCTAAATAACAATAAAATATTAGACGAAGTAAATTTCTATCATCTCACTTTTTCATTCCGTGTGGTCACTGCGTCCTCAGAAACCGTGATAAGGCCACCGTGTTGTCTACGAACCGTGGTTTTATGTAGTTCGTTCATGTTGCGTAACACCCTCTGCTCGTCCCGCAAACATTAACTCGTTACATAAAATAAGGCATTTCGCAACTGGTTTCATAAATGGCTATTATTTTAGTCTTTATTCATTATAAATTCTACATGAAAGTAATAGAAAAGTAAAAATCTGATGTGTCCAACACATGACTTTCCTATCTAGTTTTTATAGGCTTTTTCCGGTTATTTTGTACAACCTATTGCAGCATCTCTATAAATGTTTAGAGGATAAACTAAATATATACATTGTCCACATACATCTACCTCGAAACATTTTTCTATAGATATTCATTGAAAACGAAAAAACTGAAAAATTTAAATTTAGCAATTTTCCATTACGGTCCATTTTAGAAAAATCATGTATAAACAAAAATTATAGAGATCGATATCGCAAACAACTTTTAGTTCAACAATTTTCATAAAAATCAGAATTTTGCACATTTTGTCAAATTTCTCGAATACGGACCATTTTAGGAAAATTTTGTATAGTACAAAAATTATAGATAATAATATTGGAAGTAACTTTTATTTGAACAATTTTCTTTTCCAAACATAAATAACAGATATATTCCATAAAATATAAAAATGGCCTCCCATAAAGTACCCCCCCAGATGTTCCGACTTTGTCCAAAATCTAATCATTTCACGTCAGGCCGAAATAAACCTTAAGTTTAAAATTTAATGTTTTTTTCCTTATCCGTTTTTGAGTTTTCTTCAAAATTCGAAATTTACACATTTTCTCAAATATCTCGAATACGGTCCATTTTAGAGAAATTATGTATAAAATAAAAATTATAGAGAATTATATTACAAACAACTTTTATTTGAACAATTTTTATAAAAAATTATTTTTTTTTACATTTTGTCAAATTTCTCGAATACGGACCATTTTAGAAAAATTTTGTATGGAACAAAAATTATAGACAATTATATTAGAAGTAACTTTTATTTAAAGAATTTTCTTCTCCAAACGTAAATAACAGATATATTTCATAAAATATAAAAATGACCACCCATAAAGTACCCCCCCCCCAGATGTTTCGACTCTGCCCAAAATCTAATCAGTTCATTAGACGCTAGAATAAAGCTTAAGTTTAAAATTTGGTGTTTTTCTGTGTATCGGTTCATGAGTTATGCGACTTACAGTCACAGACACACACACACACACACACACACACACACACACACACACACACACACACACACACACACACACACACACACACACACACACACACACACACACACACACACACACACACACACACACACACACACACACACACACACACACACACACACACACACACACACACACACACACACACACACACACACACACACACACACACACACACACACACACACACACACACACACACACACACACACACACACACACACACACACACACACACACACACACACACACACACACACACACACACACACACACACACACACACACACACACACACACACACACACACACACACACACACACACACACACACACACACACACACACACACACACACACACACACACACACACACACACACACACACACACACACACACACACACACACACACACACACACACACACACACACACACACACACACACACACACACACACACACACACACACACACACACACACACACACACACACACACACACACACACACACACACACACACACACACACACACACACACACACACACACACACACACACACACACACACACACACACACACACACACACACACACACACACACACACACACACACACACACACACACACACACACACACACACACACACACACACACACACACACACACACACACACACACACACACACACACACACACACACACACACACACACACACACACACACACACACACACACACACACACACACACACACACACACACACACACACACACACACACACACACACACACACACACACACACACACACACACACACACACACACACACACACACACACACACACACACACACACACATCGCGAAAATAGTCAAAACGGATTCAGGGGACCTCAAAACGTAAAAATCCGTCGAACACTCGAGGTCGAAAAAAATCATGATTCTTATACTTTCCATATATCTGTATACAGATAGGAAAGTAAAAATAACTGTTTTAAGTTGAAATAAGAGTAGATCTTACGCGAAGAACATACAGGATGCTAAAATAATGATACATTTAATATTAGAATCAAAAAGGTAAAATGACTAAATATTATTTAATGGGCAAGCTTAAGTGGTAAAAATCCCAAATATTTTTACAGAGGTCAGTTTAAATGGTTAAAGGCCAAATACTTTTACATGTTCGTGGTACGTGGTAAAGGGGCCAATCATTTTCACATGAGCAGGCTTAAGGGATAAAGGGTTCAAATATTTTTTACATGCTTATAGACTTGCAATAACAAGGACCAAATATTATGATATAGGTTGGCTAAATATTACATGAGCAGGCTTAAGGAGAAAAGGGCCCAATTATTTTTACATTGACAGACTTAAGAGGAAGTACCCAAATATTTTAACATATATTGTTCAAACAATTTTCAAATCAGTGCTAGCAATGTGAATATCCTCTACGTGGTTAAGCATAAGTAAAGCTAATCAGCTTTTGGTCTTTCGTTCAAAATCAAATCGTTTCTCATATATTTTATTCTATGAGTTTGCCCCAGTCTCGATAACCACCAATTTAGGGTCTCTTGAATTATTAAAATTAAAATGTACACGGAACACGAGGCTAATAATCATAGCAGTTGATGCCGATGACACACAAAAAAAAGAAACAATAGAAAGGAAATTTTAAATAGTAAATTGCACTCTATAAACCTAATCAAGTTTCTATCTGCAGTGAATCTATTACACAAACAGTAAATAAATGTATACGCTCATGATCTTTTAGGTTAATGCGTTCTTTTTAAATAAAAAAAAATTTTTTTTCAACATTTAAATATAAAAACGTATGTAACTTTTTCAAACACCCTGTGCATGTGTTTCCTAGTTGATGGCGTACCTACTACTTGTTTTTGAACATACGACTTTTTCTCAGGAAATATATTCAATAACGTTAATAACGTTTTGTTTTGTTTTTGTAAAAATCTTGAAAATATCTTTATATTATATTTTTCTAAATCCTTATAAATGTTCGCATTTATTATCCAAAAATGACAGTTTGTTATTAAAAAAAAAAAATATTGACTAGAAGTGAGAATCTGAGTTCTAAGTCGAACAAATCGATTTTTCCGAGTTCTAAGTTGAAATAATCAATTTTTCCGAGTTCTAAGTTGAAATAATCAATTTTTCCGAGTTTTAAGTTCATTTTCTTAACTTCTGAAAAAGTGGCAACACAAGTGCACATATTTAACCTTTACCTACACGTATACCTATATTTGTTCTATTTCTTAAAATAAAAAAAAAATAACTTTAAAAGTGGGGCACTACGAAACATTTGCATTCACTGCTCCGAAGTCAAGTAAATTACCAACAAATATAAATAGTATTACTTCAAAATTTATCGCCATTAATAACATACGTCTATTTCAGTGTAGGTCTTCCTCTGTCATGTCAATTTTTCTTACCGTTTAATTATAAACCAAGAAATTCAAAATTTGGTTACAGTTATTTAATCAACTCTAGCTAAATCTTCAAAAAAATCAAAATCACCGTGACTCACCACTATAGAGCTAACTTGATTCCTTGTTTCTTCGATTGCGTTATATTACAATAACCACCTTCAAAAAAGTATTTCAAGAGCTCGTAAACACCCACAGAACAACCAAATATGATGATTTCAAGAGTTAAGGAATAATTTTGGACCTCTGACCGAAACATTCCACCAAAATGTAGTTATCATTGAAGTGGTTTCGGTTTAAGTGAAGTCTTCAACACTACCCATAGTGCCCGTATCTCATATGATAAAATTGCCAGTTGGCTGAAATTCAAACTAATAACTTCAAATTAATCCTGAGATTGGGGACGGTTGATATATACTTTGGAGTAAGTTGACATTGGCCGTTTATCGATTATATTGTAAATACGCATGATTCTTTCCCTAAAATTATTTGTATGGGTATATTAAGTCATGTACTGCATACTACATTACGATTATTTCTAATAAAAATAAAAACTTTTAAATCAGATAAAATTATATGTTTTCTATGATCCAAACTAAAATTTATTTGAAAAATTTTAAATATATGTTTGCCATGTATCTCTCTAATAAATTTGAGATAAATAAATAATTTTTCCATTGCAATCAACTATAGGTACTAGTCAATATTAAACAAATATGTATTTGTCCTAAACATTTACGGGAAAAATTAAAAAAATAATTATTTGCTCCAAATGTCATATAAATAAATATTTATTTAATCGTATTCACCATATTTTATCTTACTTTTTAGGAACATGATACTTTGATTTCATACATTTTTTTCAAATGAATTCTGAATTTAAGTGATTTGGATTAGATAATCATGTATTTTAATGGAGTATTTTAAACAAATACATTTCTATTAATTTAAATTAAGTTTAAAAAAAATACTAGATAAATAACCAAATAATTTGTTGAAGTGTTTCTTCTAAAAGATTCTTTACTCTTGACCATTTAGATTTAAAATGATCTTTTATATAGAAATATAACATGTCAGATAAAGAAATCTAACATGTCAGGCAGTGGCGGCTCGTGGGCACTAGCGGCAGTGGGGCACACACTGGAAAGGAATCCCGGGATTCGTTTTTCCCTTAGGAAAACAAGTTCTCCTCTTAATGAAAATTAAATATATTTCAAAACAATCAGTTGGGGCAATAACGATTTCTGAATGTGACTACAGGGAGCTAAATGTGACCACTCAAAATGCATTTAACTATGTATGTGGCTATTTAATCAAAAAATCATTACATATCCACTCTTGCGAAATTTGCGTAAATTTCTCAGAAGAATGCAATTTACTTAACAATTCTAACTTGTTAACGCATTTTAAAGCATACGACTCTGAAGAAAAGGCGTTTGGTAATTTAAAATCTCCCAGCGAAAAATTTCTCTTTATATTTTCAAATTAGAACAAATATTTATATCTCTATTTGATAGTTTGTCAACTAAGCCTGGAATTTCCAACGCATACCTTTTTGAGATGAGCAAAATAGAATTTGGTCATCCTTGCCAACAATTTGCGAAAATGTACACCATTAAATTATTTTTATACTCTTAAATATGCAAACAGAGATTTGAAATCCTCGAAAAAGTCAGACAAAACCAAAAGAAAAATTAAAATTTTGTCCCATTTATAAATATTATTAATTTTTTTTCATCATATTTTTGACTGCTTTATACAAAAAGTTATTTTTCTTTGTAGTTTTATTTCTTAACTATCCCAATGGTCCAACTAACGTTTTTTCGTAATCACAATAAATAAATTATTATCATGGTCCAATAAACGCGCATCTTAAGCCGAAACCGGCATCGCCCTTGTGAGGGAGCCGGTAAAGATGCCGCTGCGTACATTCGTATCTGGTCTAGGTAATCTGTGCGTTGGGTACAGCACGTCACGATAAGGACAGCGCCCCGCTTGTGACGTATAATCCATCGCATGTGTTCATCTCTTGCTAAGCGATATTGTCGTTGTCCTTGTTTTTCGCATCATAATGAGATAGACAACAACAGAGGCACACATTTACTGTGCGCTGTGGCCATCCTCTTCCACTTAATTTCGGAATTCTCGGAACGTCGTTCAACGCCAGGTCGTCCAGTGTCGTGCCAACGCCGTTTGCGCTAATAGGCATTGAGGAAAATATAAAATATGTGTGTATTTTTTTTTTTTGGTTTATTATACTGGGGCACGTGACCAAGTACCTTTACGGGCAAACCGCCACTGATGTCAGGTTAGGAAATCTAGTAGGTCAATTTATTAAACCTATCTGACGCTTCTATATGAATACTATTTATTCCTGTTATTTTTTCTTTAAGATTGGGATTGGGAGTACTTAAGAAACCGTATAATAAACGACATTTATTAGCACGGTATTGGCAGCATCAAACAAACGTCATGTAAAAACTGCATTGTAATGATATTTTTAATAAAATTATAAAGAATGGTACAATCTTAAAACATTTCTACTCAATGAATTTTTAAATTTAAATAAAATATAATTGAAAGGATGTAATTACAAATTAAAAAAAAAAGGCTATTTATAGTTAGAAATTTGACAGGAGAACTGTTAAAAGCAAAAATCAAGATTTTATTATCAAACTGTTTTCTTGGAGGCTGAATAAAATAAATTATATTATTTCATTATAACACCAGTTGCGAAAAGTAAACAAATAAAAATATACCTTTTTTAAAATCAATATATACATTGTTATTGAAAGTTTATATTAAAAGAAGAAAGACTGTGGACGAATTGTATATTGCAGAACAAGTATGGTGGAAATTCTTGCAGTCAATATCATTTTATAATGAAATTCAGTCATTTAAAACAAATGGTTATGTAGGTAGACATAGCAAACTTTTTAAATTAAATCCTTAGACGAATTTGAGATAATGAAACTTTATCGCTTAATTGCTTTAATGAACTACTTGTTGATTTCTATCACAACAAAGTTAAACATCAGGATAGTAAAATACAAATTAATAAAATTTGACAGTTATATTGAATACTGGGAGTAAATAGTTTGGTAAAAAAGATTTCTAAAGACTGTCAGTTTTGCAAAAATTGAGATAGCTTATTCCCTTACCACCGATTTCACCATCATGGCCATCTAGAGAATGTGCTCAAGAAGAGGGTACTCATTAGAGCTTCTTAGTGTCAATGGCACTAATTTCAGAAGAGCTGATAAGAAACTACAGCTACCTCTAAAAGAATTTAACCAACAAAAAATATCTGTAAACCATTCGGTTAATGGTATCAAGTGGAATTTCAATCCACCAACAGCAAGTCACATGGGTGGAGTTTAGAAGCGTATCCAAGTTCCCCATGAAGAAGTTTTGCATATCTTGCATATCTTAAGTTGAGAACACTATACATTCTAGACCATTGAACGATATTTTCTTAGATTACCAAGACGAAAAAACTATCTCTCCAAATCATTTTCTTTTGGAGCTGAAGTATAATGTCAGTCAAATACATCTCCTTAAAAAATTTACCATAGATAACTTCAGCTCGCGAAAACAATGGATGTCCAAGACCTTGCCATCAAACTTTGGAAAAAAAGGATTTATCCACTCTTCGTTTGCGATCCAACTGGCATCAAGAAAAGAGGAACATTGAAATAAATAATGTCGTCATTTTTGAGTACAATCAGACACCAAGGAATACGTGGCTAAAAGGAATAACCACGGCAGCTTCCCCCGGAAAGGACACCAGAGTTAGAGTTTTTGGACGACTTGTTTCTAAATTATGCATGTTAAATGTTTTTCAAAAATGAAGTCCTCATTTGGGGCCGGAGAATGTTATTGATTAGTGTTTAGTATTTTTCCACGTCTCATTACGTTAAACATGCTGTATTTATCAATAGAAAAAGTAATGTCAACTTGTCAAATAAAACATAAAAAAGTCATATTGTTAAAATAGATTTTATTGCAATTTATGACCGATACCAGCTTGCAGACACGCAGCAGATCGCTGCAGGTATAAAAAAAAAACTCGAAACATTAGGGAAAATAAAGAATTAAAAAAAATTAAATCCGAGCCTAAAATTCTGTTTTAAAAATTAAGTTAAATTTCTGTTAATGTTTTTATCGGTTTTACCTTTTTTTTAGGTTTTTATTTATGTATGAATCATGCACCGGCTGTTATTGTAATTCAGTCGTCCCGATGATTTTAATAGTAATATTTCAATAGATAGGTATACCTCGCGAGCGTATCCTAGTCCTAGAACTTTTATTAATCTAACTCAACGGGCTACTTGTGGGAACACCGTGGAGAACATGTAATATGACCGATACGAGAAGACATGAAGTGCGTTTGTGTTGAAGTGCATTTGTGTTGAGGTAAACAGATCGTATTGGATACATTTTGGAATAAATAATTGTAAGTTCTTTATTTTGGATTTTTTTTTAAGAAGTTGTTTATTTTAATCACTTAAATACACAGTTAAAAAAATATCAACTTAGTATTCTATATATTAATTAAAAGTGGTTGTCTATAATGAAGATACATTACGTTTGGATATAATAGTGGTTTTCAAATTGGGATAGGCTGAAAATACTGGTAATTTGTGGATAAAACAAAATTAATAATAAAGTAGAATAGAAGTACTAAAGGTAGCTAAATTTAATTAAAACATTTGCAGATATTATATTTAGATAATATTAATATTTCATGGGTTATCGCGGTAATGTTTTAAAACTTTTTTGTAATTACTTAACAGATAGACCACAACAAGTACGTGTTGGTTGTGAATTAAGCGGAAAAAGAACAAGTGTTCCACAAGGCACTATCCTTGGACCTACTTCATTTTTAATTTTTATAAACAATTTACTCTCTTATACAGATTGCAGCCTCATTTCTTATGCTGATGATAAGGTCTTAAATTTTACAGGGAATACATGGGATGAGGTTTGGTAAAATTTACAACAAGCACTAAATGATGTTAAAAATTGGTTGGATGCAAATTGTCTAAGTTTAAACATCTCGAAAACAAAATTTATTGCTTTTTCACCAACAGTTGCTGGACCCAATAAAATATCTACCTTCAATTAAAATCAATGGAGTTAATGAAGAAACTGCTAAAATCAAATACCTGGGTATCTATTGCGACAAACATCTTAAATGGTCAACACACATTGAGTACACAACTAAACGTCTAAAAAAACTAACTTATAAATTTTATTATTAAGAAATCTACTAAGCAAAAAAGTTATATTAATTGTTTACAACAGCTTAGTTGAATCTATACTTAGGTATGGCATCTGTGTATGGGGAGCAGCTTATATAACCACGCTCGGAAAATTACAAGCCTGGCAAAACTATGTTATCCAAATGATATTTAAGTTATCAAACATCCAAAGTGTCAAACGTCAAACCCGTATATATAGAAACATAATGCTCAAAATTAATTATTCATCAAGATAGTAATTTAGATAAAGTGCGTCATACTTACGAAATTAAACCCTATTCTTATAAACGCGTAAATAAATCAGTATGTCAAAAAAGTATATTTTACAACGGGATAGAAATATACAACACCATTCCTGACTCATTTAAAACATTACCCTTTAAATTATTTAAGAGGAAAATAAAAATATACATCTGAAAATCACAGTAAATTAGTACTATTATTGTAATTATGCATAATGATTAATACTTTAATAATGTTTCTTAGTGTTTCCACAGTGTTATTGTTTAAATATTTTTATTTTATATTAATTGTATATTTTGTTTTTGCGTAGCTATATTTAATCATCAAACTGCATAATTATTTCATT